CTATAAGTTTTGATTTTATTTTAGTATATTTTTAAAAATTTTAATTCATTCTTAATGTTTATTTTTATTTTAATATCTCATATTAAAATTTAACGGTGATTGCATGTGACACATTTTTTACAGGTAAATTGCATCATTGTTAACTATTTTTTTTCTTATTCTGATCACTAAAGTTTAGTATTTTATAAGAATTATTTAACTTTTAAATTACTCTTAATTTAATCACTAAATTTTCAATTCATTTTTTTTTCAACTATATATTATAATAATAATAAAAGTAGATATGGTAAATTTGACTCGAACCTGATTACTTGAATCGATTTACTCAAATTGGGACCCGAAATATACCCAAATATGATGCCCAAATTTGATCATAAACTTGAAAAAACTGAATCAAATCGAAATCAACCCGAATTTCAACTAAACCGAAAAGTAACCTAAACCGAACCAAAATTGACGCGAATTTAATCAAACCGAAAGTAACATAAACCGAAAACAACCTGAATTGAAATCAATTTGAATTTAATTTATCCAAACCCGACATTTTTTACAAAATATGTACCAATAATTCTATATATACTTGATTTGACTTATACCCAACTCAATTTGAATAGACCTGAATATATAAAGTTGACCCAAATCGAAAATAATTGATTGGATATTGAACTTATCCAAAAATAAACCGATCTGATTTGATCCGATCTGATACCCAAACTGACCCGACTTACTATATACTTGAATAAAATCGAAACCCAAAATGACTGACTTGACTCGACTTACTATATACCCGAATAAAATTGAACCCCGAAATGACCTAATTTAAACCGAATGACTCGTTTTTCATCCTAAATAAAAGTGTCATATCACAAAAATTATTAATAAAATAATTTTTTTATTAAGCTAATGTAATTACAAAGTAGTATTTGTTCTAAATACTCTCAACTATTTGATAATTAATATTCAATCACCTTAGCTGCAATTACTTGTGCTCGAACCCGAGACCTCTAAGAATATCAACCATTCTTTTAATCATTGAGGTAATTTGGACCGTACTAATAAAATAAATTAGAGTGATTAAAATGGAAACAATTTGAAAGTTAAGTAGTCGAATTAAGACTAAAATTTTAGTATCAAAATAGGAGTTAGAAGATAGTTGAGTGGTGAATAATATAATTTATTCATAAAAAATAAAATGTCGTTAAGTTTTTATGACGATGTACTAAAATAAAATAAAAGTTAAACGTTAGGAATGATTTAAAAAAAATAAAAATTTAAATACTATAACAGACTAAAATTAATTATTTAGATATTAAACGTGTAATTTTATCTCGATTTTATTTGTTAGCGTTTTGAACGTGTTGTGGGTTTGGATAGAATTCTTCAATCCTTGTTCATTTTTCGTTTCTTGTTTGTAAAAAGAAATCTTTAAACACGTCCTTTTGGTACGGATCTAGACCAGTGGTCCACTCTGAAGCTCTTCCATTCCTTAAATGACGAAAATGACTTCCATTCAACACTTCAAAATATATTTTCTCGAGATTGTTTTAATAGAATTTTAAATATTTAGGATAAAGAATGTAAATTGTCTTCCGATTATAAGGGGTTTATTTATTAAGTTTTTCGACTATTAAAATTTATAAAATGATATTTTTGTTATGGAATATTGTCTTGTTGAGTCCCCAGTTATTAAAAGTTACAAAATGATCACTCGATTATACATTATATTTAAGACTCATCCCTTTCAGTTAAAAAATTAATGATTGTTTAAGCCATATGTTAACATGATGATGACTGAGAAATGATAATCGTTTGAGATTTTGGGATTAAATTTTATTATATCACAGTTAAGAAGTTAATGTTCAGCTCAGAATATCGTTATTTTTTAACGAAAAATGACAAGTTTGGAATATAATAAATAGTCTGGTGATCATTTTGTAACTTCTAATAGTCGAGAGACTCAATAAAGTAATAATCTATAATCAAATGATCATTTCTTAACTTTTAATAGTCGAAAAACTTAAATAAAATTTGTTATTAATCGTAAAATGTTGCTTTGTTAAATCTTCATACTTAAAGGTTATAAAATAGTCTTTTAATTATAGGAGATTATTTCGAAAAAAAATTTTATAATTTGGGGTACAAATATCAGAAACATCAATACTCAAATATTTCTGAAACAAAAACGATCAAAATTTATTTTCTGTTTTTGTTGTTGATTGATTGATTCCGTTTTTCCTCGGTACATCCTCCAAAATTATTGTGCTGGTTTGTGTAGGGAAAAAAATCGAAGGGATTATATTTTTACTGGCGTTTTCTTTCTCAGATTTCTGGTTTTTCCTGCCTCGAAAATCAATTAATCTTTCCTTTAATCCAAACATTCACTCCGGAACCCAAACTCTGCCATGCAATTTCTCACTTCTTTCCTAATCATCTGCTGCATTACGGCCATTAATTCAAGTCCAAAAGCCGCCGTATTTGTCCCGCTATCACGACGCTTTCCGGCTAGTAAGTCCAGCTCTTTATCCGTACGCGAGTTATCTTTGTTCGACTCAACCAACTCGTCGTTCCAAGAACGTCCGAGTGTCAGCGTAGTCGAAACGACACGAGCGTGTTGTTGATGATTCGACTCGGCCCTGCTCAATGCCAAATCACTGACGTCAGAAACCGAAGGACTCGCCGGGTTACTGTTAACACTAACGGATCTCAGACATTTACCCGGCTGCATCTCCGATTCGTGAGCCGAATCTCCGTCTTCGGCCGTCGTCCGTTTCAAGCTCGAGTTCCAATGGTTCTTCACCGTGTTGTCTGTACGACCGTTGAGAAGCCTGGCGATAGTGGCCCACTTGTTGCCGAACTCGGCGTGCGCTCTGATGATTATCTCCTCTTCCTCCGCTGTGAATGAACGGTGCTCGACTTCCGGCGACAACTGGTTGCACCACCGCAGCCTGCACGATTTCCCTGATCGACCGGGGATCGAACACGATATCGACGACCAGTTCCTCGGACCGTAGCGCTGAACCAGCCTCCGCAATGCCTCGTCCTCCTCCGGTCTCCATGGACCCTTCACACGATCAACGTCCTGATCCATCGGTTTGACAGATAAACCGGTGATTTCAGTTTTTTTTTTCCTTTCGGTTTGGAGGTTCGGATTTTAGCTCGAATGAGGCTTATATAGGGGATAATTTGATTGAGCCGGTTAACAAATACAGATAATAAACGTTAAAATGGACCGGTATTGACCAGTAACCGGTCAGGACCCATACAGCTGTATAACGTCTACTCTTGCCACGTAGGCGGCCACTGAATTCTGGGAGAATCCAATAAATTAGGGTAGTTTAGGGATTTGACGTCGTAGTTTTCCTTATTTGAATCGTACAGTTAATGGAGGTTACGGAAAAGGAAAGAATGAGAAAATTGTGAGAAATTGAGGATAAGTTTTGACTCCGCCAGCCTGGAAACCATTACGTGGCACTTTAAAATAATATCTCCGACAAATTAGATTTTGTCGTTTTGTTCGGTTTCGGGTGATGTGCTCAGAAATAAAATATCGGTGACGTGGACAAACACAGCCAAAGAGAAATTGATTAACAGCTTCTCAAATTCCAGCCTGTAAACCTGCCACCGGAGAAGATATGTTAACGGCTTTCCAGCCACCGAACCCCACCCCATTAACCTAAACCATCAAATTTAACGTTAATCAAAGTTTAAACTATATCGATTTTTCAAGAACATGGACCTAAAATATTTTTTCGGAATGAGTAATAGATATAACGTTATAAACGTTAACACTTTAAGTGTTTGGATTGTAATAGTGGTTAGTTTTTTTCGTTAAGTGGCACATGTCATATTTTTTTAATTTTGAAATTTATTTATTTAATAAAAAATAAAAATGTTATTATATTATAAGAAAACTCTAATTTCCCTTAAATTACAAAAGAAAACTAAAATCCATAAAAATCCCTAACCCACCGTCGTTGTCCTTTCTGTCCATGACTACTGTTGTTGACATACTCTCTGTCATCCTCTTAGTCATTTGTCGTCGTTAGCCGTCGGAATCGAGTGGGATCGAAAATTTTATCATAGGGTTCGCGAGGTACAAAACGTCGATTGGTCATCGATCATCATGATTGGTTGCGATTTCATAAGGTATTGATCTTCGGGGAGGGAGGTCGGGGAGTTTCGTCGACGATAAATGACGACGACCAACATGGTTTAGGGATTTAAATAAATGTTTTCAAGGTTTTGTGGTTATTTTTAAAATTTTGTGTTTTTTAATATAATTTCAAATTTCAATTTTTAAAATTACTAGAATGTGACACGTACCACTTAACAGGGGAAATTAACGACGTTTAAGGTATGGACACATAAAGTGATAACGTTTGTACCGTTAGACACCAGGATCATTCAAAAAATAGTTTAGATACATATTTATGAAAAGCGTTATAGTTTGAATACTTATTTTACGATTAAGCCTTTATTCAAATATATTTAATTTCATAATTATCGTAATCTTAATATTCATTAGAAAATAATTCGCATTTAAAAATACTTATTTGACAACTTCCCAACTCATTTATCGTATGTTTGTTTTCTTGTAATTGATTTTTTTAAAAATAATTTTCGAATTTTACAGTATTAGGCATACGAAAAACATATGATCAATATAATTTTTTAAAAAAAAAGTATATTGTATCAGATCCGATTATATCAAAATCCGTCAAGTTCAGATTATATCATCATCTGTAAATAATATATCTTATTTTGAAAAAGTATAACATGATATAAATCTTATTTTTTTATCTAGTCAAAATCATTCTCGACGATATCTAATTATAACAAACATAAACATATTTAAATATAAATATAATAATTTAATTGATTCAAAATTTTTCAAAGAATGATAAATAAATTCAAATATTAGTTTTACAACAAGAAAATTGCATATACCCAATACTGTATCCTACCTAGATTTACCCCCAAAAAAGTTCAATCATCAAGAAATGTCGGTAAAAGAGCATTATCGTTAGAAGGTGTCGCCACTGAAGGGCATTGTCGTTTGGGCAGCACTAACACTATACGAGAAAACTGTCGCCACTAAAAAAACACTATCGTCGAAACTACCAACACATACAACTATTTAATATATATATATAATTCAGGAAAGCATTTGATTTTTATTTATGCACTGTTGTTTGTAGTTGCCGATGTCCTGTTGTGGAGAAACTCGTGACGCCGAGCTTTGTTGCTGCTGCCTTCGTGGACGCTGCTGGCTTCGTGGACGATGATGTGGTACCTTTCCGAAAGAGCTGGTTATAATTTATTGCCTTTCGTGGCCAATGTACTGTTGCTCCTCCTTGTTATTCTCTTCCTCTGGGCCAAATCTGCTTCCCTCCTCAACAGTTTCCCCCCATTGTTAACCTTCCTCATTCTCCTTGTTCTGGTAACTTTCTATGCATTCAACTGCATTCTTGGTTGGGATTTCTTTCTTCTTTCCGATGAAGGGTAGGAGTCGGAGTTGTCCGATGATCGAACTCGGAATAAGTGTCGACTGAAGACTCAAACCACAAGTAGTTGATGAACTAACATGTTGTTTGCTTTATAATGTCGACCTTTGCAGCCCCTTCCCAATTTAGAGATCTCTGAGCAGACTGTTGGAATGGTTGCTGATGATTTACACCTATGGATCAATCATACGTTATCTATTGCACATGATATTGCAGTCGGTAGAGGCTTGAAATTTTTTTCTTAAGGTTGAACTTTGCCTTTCTATTAGTGCATGTTTTGTCGATTCTCAACTTGCCGGAGTTTGTTAATGTATCCACTGTGCAGGTTGCCGTTGGCTTGTGGTTGGTGTCATACATCGGTAGCCTCTGCAAATTCCTCACTTGTCAATATCCGTGTGTTTATGAGACCCTATATTTCTATCACCAGATGATTCCTTTTCATCCGTGCTTATTTTGTTAGAGATGTTTTGTAGTTCTTCTTAGTCTATTGGTTCTGGCGGGTATACGATAAGTACCAGCACTTCAACGACGAGAAGCTCCGTGCAACACACAGAATCATTCAAACGCAATATAGGAAAATTGATGAATTGGTATTAAGGAAGATCCCTTTGCCCTCAAACAAGGAAAAGAAGATGCAATAGGGTAAATTTTCTTCCTTCTCTATGTTCTTTTGCTTACATCTCCATTGTTGCAGCCCTTCCAAAGCAATGCTAGGATTCACTTGTTGGTTCCTTACTGCCTCTGTTGCCCTAAAGCACGTGTATTTTTTTACAGGGTATTCGATGGTTATGAGTTACTGGAGGGCACAAGATTCGGTTTTCGGACAGTGTTAGAGTTATTGATCTTTAGGGGTTGAACTAACCTTGATAATTTATTCACCCGGGAGATGTATACTTCTTGATGTATTCTAAATGTTTAATTGGGTGTAAACAAAGTTCTCCAATGGGTCTTGTTTTACTTTGTAGGAAAGTTATCTTAGTATATGGTAATAAAACCTTATGTTATTGATGTCCATTCTGGTCAAGTTATAAACAGTTCGATATCCCATAAATCGAATATCGAGTCCAAATTTTGTGGATTAAAGAAAACCAAACCGGAAGAGATTTACCATCATATACGGTCACTTTGTTCGACTTCGGATATAATGAGAACTTGTGTATGCTGCCCCATATCGTATCGGTAGATGCATTTATTTAAAAAAAAAATGCAAAGGATGGCTTTTGAAACACCCATCAGATGTAAATTCAAATTCATCTATTCTACGTTTCAACAGTTCTGGCCACAAAATCATGTTCCAGCATAAGAGCTTCAATTCATAATAAAGGGCAGAACTTACGCAATCTTGGGAATTGGAATAGTCTCTATATTAGGCAACGTCACCGACCGCAACAGTTCGAGCGAGAACACCAGCCCCAGAAAATGTGAAAGGATAGTGTTGGCCGATGCCTGCACGAACAAGATACGTGTAAGGCCATGCACTAACCAAGGTTATTCCCCATTACAAGTTTGTGCTTGATCAATAAGCATAAATGTTCCTACATTTTAGTAAAATAAAGCATGACGAAAAGCAAACTTTGATTTTCATTCGTTCGTGTATCGAGACAACTCTAATGATTTAGCTGCTATCAATCTAGCTGGCCAGTCTCTCTCTTTACATGCAAAACGACACATCACTAGCAAGTAAACTTAAGGCAGCTTTACGATTTCTATTATTTTCTTCTACTAAACCCTCAAATTCAAAAACATGGATCTCATTCAGTTAAATGCTCTGTTTTTTTTTTGGGGCCAACAGTTAAATGCAATAGACCAAAGTAAATTAAGTACCTGCACCAAGAATACATCCAAGGCAAGAACCGGACTAGAGCCGGGAGCAATTCCTTGGTAATAAGGAGTTGTTGAAGTGGTAAGGGCCTTTGCAACTAGTAAGCCCACTGTTGCTTGCATGCCAAGAATAGCAGCACCCATTCCCAAAAGATTCAGCACTATACCATTTTTCAAGCTTTTCACAACATCGGCTCGTGGAGGAGCCTGAAACTCGAGGGAAAAGTTTTTAGCGGAAGTTGAATGAGGCAACAAGTAATTATCAAAGATCAAAATAAGCCCCGAATTTGGCCACATGCCTAACCATAAAGTAATCCTTCAAACTCCTGAACAATGCTACACATGATAGGTGAGCGTAATCTAGATCAAACTCAAATGGATCACTAAGTCTACAATTCTAATTCGATGAAGGAAATAAGGTACAATTAGTTTCATTCGTGGAATATATTAAAATGGATTTCTCATCTTCAACTCTCAATACGCTGGGATTTAAAATGACCATCAATTACATTAAATGCATAGCTGAATATATAGTCAAAATTCAATCAGGTACATGCCAAAAATACATTAAGAACAAGGTACAATTTAAACATGTAACTTCAATTCACAATACCTTTGAAGGATCACTATAAATAATGATTCAGATACTTTAAACTGTTAACACAAGTTCAACTCACAATACCTTTGAAGGATCATTAGCAGTCCTCTTGAGTTTCTCAGAAAGCCGAATATAACCAAATGACCAAAAAACCGATATGAACGCAGCTATAATTCCACCGGCGGTAGCATAAAAGTAGCAGGCGATGTAATTTTCCCAGTAACTACAACCGAGAACGAAAGTATCACTGCTGACACCACAGTGCAAACTAGCTGCCCCCAAAACCCTAAATTCCCCAATCGCTTAAAGTACCTCGATGTCGTCTCTAACCTCTTCGCAACCTGCACCATTCCAACTCAAAATCTTATCCTAACAAATCCTCAACACAAACAGAATTAAAATGATAACAAACCCCTTCATTTACAGTTCATAAATACCAAAACCCCACAAAAAAAATCCAAAATTAACCCACAGAATGCTATTAGTCCTGATGTTTATATCTGTTTACTGGTTTTTTATGCTACTGACTACAAGAACAATGCGGATTTCTGGTTGCTCTTTTGCTTTTTCAAGATTTATTAACTACCCAGAAGATAATTTCTGAAAAAATTGACCAAGCTAAACCAAAGAGCAGAAACCCAATTCGATAAAGTTGAAACTTCAGCAACAAATAAATCAAACCCATAAAGTTTTTGAATCGGTTGAAAAAGGGTAAGTCTGAAATTAAGATAAAGAGAGGAGGGAGTACCTGGGAGAGTTTTGCCTTGTCAGTATCATCATTAGAGGAGGTAAAACTAGGTGAAGAGACCGAGGAAGAAGACACTCTGCTAAAAAAAAGCTTAGATCTTTTAACACCGAGATGATTCCAGGAAGCAAGCGGGGAGAATGATTGCTTCAGTTTCGTGGTTTCGAGCGAAGTGAGAAGATTTGGAGGAGGAGAAGTGAGCGGTGGCCGGTGACGGTGAGGGGGAGGAAAGGGACTCGCCGCTGCCGCCACAGAGAAGCCGGATCGAGTTGCCGGCACCAATAGCATTTGCATGATGATCAGATGGTGTTTACCGGAGACACGGTCGTGGAGTACCAGTGTTGTTTTGTTTAAATCGATGGATATAAATTCAATAGGGTTAAAGACTCAGTCCCTGATTTTAGCTACTTTTCCCATATTAGTCTCTGAGTTTCGCTATTTCCCCCTATTAGTCCCTGAGTTTCGCTATTTTTCCCATATTAGTCCCTGAGTTTCTTTTCCCTAAATGTGTTTTTTCGGTTCACATTAATCCTTGTGTCAATTTTATAAAGATTTTATTAATACTTATAGTTTGGGATCAATATAAAATAAGATTTATAATGTGTGAATGAAATTGAAACCGTAAAAAATTTAAAGATAAATTTAAAATGATAATCATATCTTAAAAATATATGATACAATGACACTTTATTTTATAATTTTATGTTCGGGAATTATTAGGTGATAATTTTGGTCCGTCTTGTACACTTCTATGAATCCTCGTCCAAAGAATAGTAACTTATTGAGCTTTAGAAACACCGTGATTATCCAAGTAAGATATGGCTACTGCAGCATGGAAGGCTGCTCCGATGGGAAGAACATCCTCGTCGATAATCAAGTACGGCGAGTGCAGTCTGTAACTTGGTTTTTGTGTTCCATTTTTCGTCCCGATCGCAAAGAAGGCAGCCGCCATCTTGTTTGCTTAGAAGCCGAAATCTTCTGCTGCGATCGTCATCGGAATCGATACTACATTAGATTTTCCAACCATAGATTCTCCGACCTTTTTCGCATGTTTGTTCATCGATTCATAGTTGAGGGTTACGGGATAAGGTCTCATTTTTCCCTCGAAGAAGTCTATGGTCACGGTACATAGATGTACTGTCGCTTGAGCCTCTATCACCTGGAAGTTCATAAAGATCAACACTAGTAGTTCAAATTTGTAGTTAAAAACACAATATTGACCTCTTTGATCCTCTGTTGCAGGTAAGACAAGCCTTCATTGGTAATGCTCCGAAATGAGCCTCCGAAAGTTACTATTTCGGGGATGACATTTGCGGCATGACCGGCTTGAAAGAACCCTATCGAGACAACCTGTGGTTCGGTGAAAACGAATACTCATTGGATATTGGCTTCGAGTATTGTGAATGAAAAATAAATGAATGTCGAGAGAGCTTTTGTTACATTGGGGTTGAGAGGATTCGTCTCTCGAGAAATTAGCTGTTGCAGGGCAAGGATTGCGAACGATGCAGCGAGTACCGGATCTCTAATCGTATGAGGCTGAGCAGCATGCCCTGATTTCCCTTGGATTTCCACTTGAAACCTGGCTGAGCCAGCAAGTATAGGGCCAGGTCTGGACCCGAAAGTTCCTGTGGGCAATTTCGGTGAAACATGTATGCCGAATATGGCCCGGACATTATCGACTGCACCGGCTTTTATCATATGATAAGCACCGGCATGAGACTCTTCCCCGAGTTGAAAAGCAAGCTTAACCGTTCCCTTCAAATCATGTCGCCCGCGCTGAAGTAACTTGGCTGCTCCTAGCAGCATCGTCACATGAACATCGTGCCCACAAGCATGCATCTTCCCTTTGTGCTTACTCTTATGCTCCCACTCCAATTCCTTCAAAATATCTACATGAAAGTCCGAACTTTTAGGTTTTATCCCCTTGTTTTGTGGTGCTTATCCATTCAATGTTATCCTACACAAAGTACACAACCAACTTAGTGATGATGTAATATTATGGAATTATGCATGAAACACCAACAATGCAAATAGAATAAACCTGAATCTAACAATAATTAGAGGAAAAAGATAGAAAATATAGCACTTTTATACACTTAACAATTACATCCAACATTGATATGATAATTAAATAAATGTTTTTGAATTTATTATTAGGTTGATTAAGTTCATGAATGATAAAAAAAAATCCGACTTTGCCGTGCAGCTAATGCTCATTATCTTTATGCTCCGGCTGATCGTTCTGGTGCCATAGAACGAGCACCAAAGGTACATGGGCTCGGTCCTTCGAGGTCGCTGCTTCGCTTCCTTGCAGGTTCTAACGGAGCTGAAACCATTTTATTCACCGTCTTTACGTCTCGGATAAGAATGGTGGTAATGTTGGAGAACGATACACGAGACGACTTCGACTGTCAAGGAACCTGAGCTAAGGTTAAGGGTAAGGAGACGTAAAGGTTATTGATTGCTAAATAGTCAGAGATACCGATGACATAACCGACAAAAGCGAAACCGCTCACCTATAAAAAAACAAATCTTTAACGCAAACCGATCGTCTTTTTCATTTCTTGTTTTCCTTAACCAAGTGTGGAAATTACCTTGCAGAAATACTAAATGAAGTTGACTTATGTAGCATGGATCCGCCGGTACCAGCACAGCATGCAACAAGTTGCCAAAACTATGAATCCTGGGGGAACAAGCTAAGATCATACATTCCCGTTGTTGCTGCGACGAGTGGGACGTCGTCAATAAATGCCGACGCAACTCCTATTGCACTTGCAATCAGTTCGACATTAGGAATATGACCGTTGAGGTAATTCGCCGACTCCCAAAGAAGACATGCTGCTTCTAGGCTAGAGAAGTATAACTCAAATATATCAAATGGTCTGGAATGTAAATATTTGACCATGTATCCATAGTATGGTAGTATACCAAGCACCAATGACATTTGCTGCTATCACGATGGCGACTCCTAGAAGACTCTATCGCATAACATACCTGCGGTATTCCGAAGGACGAAGATGGAACTGGTTTCCACGACAAAGAAATCATGGTTATCTTAAAAGAAGATACTACAGATAAAGACATCGATACAAGAAATAGAAATAATCTTTGATCTATATTCAAAACAGAGAAAGCAAACACAAAATTTCATCTGAGACTCCACACTATCATAAGCAGATGAATTGTGTTTAGGCCATGACGCGTAAGCAAGCAAATTAGAGATTCTTCTGAATCTATCTTCTATATAGGTGTCGTTCACATCGATTGTTTGAACCTATCATACGAATTTCTCGGCCGGTGGGTGTCATGCTTCAATGTGATACTGAACTTTCAACTAGTTTCGTAGGCAAACTGTCAATGATAAGATTGTCAATATCATCAAATTCATAATGCTAATGTAAACTAGGTCATAATGCAACAAGAAGACGAGACACAACAGAGAAGCACAGTACGATATCAGATATCGGAGTATCATTCTTACCCCGATGCTTCGTACAATCGTACTACCGCTATCAGCAATCCTACTCCACTTTTGTTAAGGTTAGAGGCTCTTCAAAGATAATGCCAACATATCCTATTCCAAGAAGCAATGCGAGAGTAATATCCTGCATTATGAAGTTAAATAAGCTCAGTAAAAACTACTTGTTAAGTGACACGTGTTATAATCTTAAAATTTTAAAATTTTTTGTTTTAAAAAAAAATAAAATATCATTAAAAAAAGAGAATCCCTGCACCCCTAACTTGCTTGCTTTTTCAGTTTTCCATGACTAAAGAGCCAAAGGTCAAATGGTCGATCAAATAGTCAAAAGATTGGCTACCACACTCGGCTAAACGGTCAAAAGATTACCACGGTCGACCAAAGGAATATAAGAGATTGAGTATTTGAGAATTTAAAGATTCTGGATTAGAATGTAGGAATTTGAGAATTTTCGATTTTGAGATGATAACAAGGATTGTAATCAGTCAGTAGGTGATCGACGATGTATGAGTTATTGATCATCGACGAATAGGTGGTCGGAGATGACTAACGGTTAGAGTAAAGTGGATTAGAATAAGAAATTTAGGGATTTTGAGTTTTTTAATATATTTTAAAAAATGAGGTTGTTTCATAAATAAAATATTTTTAAGTTTTTTAAAAAAATAAATTTTTAAAATTAATGATATATGTCACTTGACGAAATTTTTTAACTATCATTAAAATCGAGACACTTTAAATGATAATGATTGTAAACGTAAGGCATATGAATGATTAAAATAATTAATTAAGGCATTAATTCATAGAAGAAAATATAATTTTAACATTTATTTTTTATTTAACCTTTTAAAAACTGAAATAATATCGAAACATGACACGTGGTCACCTTCCCTATCTCAAATATGTCTGGTCCTCTTTCAATTGCCCAATAAGTGTTCCACAAAGATTAGATTAGGGCTGGGGCGGGGTTCGTGTGTACCATTCTCTCCCCCAACTCAAAACCTCAAAGCGTTCTTCTAAAACATGGCCTTAGCTCAAATCTCAGCTTCTCTCTCTCTTTCCGTTCATGGTACCATCCTCAATCGTTGTCTCTTTGATATTTGCTTTACTAATAACTCCTTGTTCCAATTTCTTGTGTTGCAGATGGCTGCCCTATCAGCTCGCCAACAACCCACAAAATTTCTCGCTTACCCATTTCCAGAATTCCACCAACGGGCTCCATTTTTGCCACTGGTTCCCCTCTTTGTAAGCAGTTCTGAGTTTTTCTAGTCCTAATCTTCATGGATTTGGTCATTTTTAGTCCCTGTTCTCCACCATTTTATGCACTGTTTGGTGGATAAAACGGTTACTTTTTGCTTGCAGTGATAAGGGGACCATTTCACCAAAGAAAGCCTGCGTGCAAATCAACACCTTTCTCCATCAAATGTGAGCAAAGCACCCAGAAAGGCAGCAGCTTGGATGTATGGCTAGGCAGGCTCGCCATGGTTGGTTTTGCAGTGGCCATTACCGTTGAAATATCCACCGGCAAGGGACTTTTGGAGGTACCCATCGTGCCGTTTTTGTTTCTAATTCGTGTTTAAAGTACCATCTTTTAACATGTTCACGTCTTGGTCCTCTGCAGAATTTTGGCCTCACAACACCTTTACCCACGGTGGCCTTGGCAGTGACTGCGTTGGTTGGTGTTTTGACTGCTATTTTCATTTTTCAATCCGCCTCTAAAAGTTGATTCTTTCTTGTAATTTTAGCCGTCGATTATATAGTCCTCTGTTTAAATACACTGTTGGTTCATTTTGAACATGATCATGTTGCAATGAGATCTAAAGTTCACCAATTTTCATTTCGCATTTAGTATGAGTTGCATTGATGAGAAGGCGTTGTAAACCCCAAAAAGAAAGGGTACTTGAATATCCATTGATTGTGATCCAATGATAATGTACACATTATGAACATAATTGTTCACTTCTAAAAAAATAATATCTCCACTTCTATCGACCACTTGATGGATTAATCTCAAAGTTAATATTTAGTTAGTCTATTTATCTTTATGGAACGTGCATTAAGTTTTAGCATAAGAATTTGAAAATTAAAAATAATTATATATGACATAGAAAAAGAATAATATAATTAAAAGAATTATTGTTGTTCTTAGAGGTTATGAGTTCGAACAACAGCAGTTGTACTGTATCAAAGGTAATTGAATATTTATTGTCAAATGGTTGAGAGTATTTAGAACAGATACTACTTTGTAATCACATTAGTTTAATAAAAAATAAATAAATACATAAATGAAATCCCCCATGCCATTGAAAATCTAAATTTTAAAGCAATGGTAATTGTAACAGCCAGCCATGGCTGCATTTTGTGATATACAACAGTTAACGACTGTAAGCTAGAACCAGAGCGTAATGATACATATATAATGAATTGGGTTGGAGAATTACTCACTTTCATAGTCGTCTTCATCTCCGAAACTGAAAACAGATGCATCCGCAGCCATTGCCTTGAATTCACTTTCCGTGCCAGAAACCGCGGTACCTGCAGTGGCAGCGTCTTTTCTCGGGTTACTACTGGTGTGTGTTTCAGTGTTTGCACTTCCTAAAGAAACTTGTTCAGTGGAATGCACCAAACCTGCAACTTGATCTGCTGCATTGGCAGTCGTTTCTGATTTGGTGGTGGCTGAGGGAGCAGCTGGTTTTAGGCGCCTGTTCATTGGCGGTCCAGAGTCTTCTGCCTCACCATACGAGAACCCATCATCTTTGTCGTTATTTCCTGGGTCTTTATCGCTGCTTGATGGGGCTGCTGCACCTCCATCAGTGGGTGAACCACTGGTGCCTGAGCTTTCATCTGGCTTATTTGTAGCGATTTCGGTTGGAGGCTTCGAGGGGACATGGTCAGTGTAATCTACTAACACAACCTCGACCTGGAAACCAGGGGAAGGTAATTTCCTCTGCACATATAACAGGAGATACGATCAGAGAAGACACTATTTCAACCGGACATTGAAAAAAATGAAGATCTCAAGTCATTTTGGCAGAACATCATAAATAAAATCATCTCATCCTAACATTTTTCATGTTTTACCTTGTCAAACCCATCAACATCACTGGTATTCAGAATTATTCTGTTTTCTATCATTGTTGTGTTTAACCAACTGATAATAAATCAAAAAGACAGAATCACAACAAAATTAGTTAATAAATTCGAGTCAACAAACTAATTTTAACGGAGAGGGGACTAACTACAGACCAGTAAAAATCTCCTTGGCGATCATGAAAATGAATTTTAAAGTCTCCAACCAGCTCGGTCAGACCAGGTTCCCCAGGCAAAGCAAATACCATAACTCCTTTTTTTGGTGCACTAAACCAAATATCTTCCAGCTGTAATTACATGCACAAAACTTCAAATTGGTATAAGCTCCAGAGATGCAAATGGCATTTTCTAAAAACATAGATGGTGATCATACATTCATACTAATTAAATAAAGCCAAACTTACAGAGAGATCCTTGGTACGCGGATGCTTCTTTGTGGAGAAGAGTTCACCTGCAGAGAGAGAGTATTGAAGTTCATGATGATTATGCAGGCGAAGACACAAGAAGTTTTAGGACAAAGCAATTACTACAGGAAGCACCAATCATCAATCAAACAAAAATATGCTATACCATTATGATCAGACACTGTAATGGAAGGCCTGATCCAATAAGGACAACGAAGAAGCCGGAATCCTCTAAGAATGCACCTGTATAAACATAATGTCAGCACTAGTATAAAACTAAAGATAAAATATAAAAATTGCATTGCCAGAAGAATACCTGCGCCCTGGCTGGTCTTCACCATTGAAGTATGTTAAGATGCGTTCAAAGTACTTGACGTATCTCTAGAGAACATAAAAGCAAAATATATGGCAATCAGATATGATATAAGCAACTTCCAAAAACCAAACTCGGAAAATCACTAGAAATCAATTGCTCACAATTTGACTTGGCAAAACGAGTCCCTTTCCATCCACACATCTTTTCTGGTTGTAGTAGTCCATTGACTCTTCAGCAGTGGGGAAGAACTGCAAAGAGATAACAAGTTATAGAAAGAACCAACCACTGTGGCCAAAAAATGTGTAGCTATATTGAATACACTCGCATTTCTTCAAGAGCATGTTCATTGGGTCGAACCTTCAAGTATAGAAGAAGGCTGGAGATCATCAACCCTGTCCTTGCCATCCCAGCTTTACAGTGCACGACCACAACATTCTCAAAATCCTCCTTCAGCCAAGAGTAAGCACTTTGACAAAAGGATATTATCAATCGAATTGGAGGGCAATTATGGTCGTCAAATGGGAAACTAGCCACCTGAAGAAAAAGTTAGATATGAATTATAAAATGTATAATTTTATTTCACATAGATCACTTTAAAATAAGTTTTAACAGGCTGCATTTACTGTTATGCATTCACGAGTGGGAAAACAAATGGTCGTAAAGATTTATCAAAGATTAGGAGGAACTGACTCTTCTTTAGAGTTATCTTCTGCCAACAACTGATTTTCATCATTGAGTGAAACACTCTTGCTTAACTTCAAAAAAAATGACTCTTGCTCATCAACTCCTAATGGATTCAATTGCCAAATGGTTTAAGAAGAAATTAGTGGCTGATTTTTCTGATTTGCTCCACAGGTCCAGCCAAATGGAAGTCAAAAAAACATTTTCAAAAGCTAACATAGCATGGTATGGTTAATGGCTTAAGAGACCTCGGAGAATATCTTTTATAAAAGCTATATGAAAGGCATATGGCACACAGCCACAGCTAACAACAATAGAGAAAAGCGCAGGTGGAAATAAACATTTAGTGAGTTACCCCAACAAACCACAACATACCTTTCCTTCAAACAATGAAGCATCATACAGCCTCTCAGAGCAAAGATTATATACTTTGTACTTGTCCTGCATTGGAGTAAATAGATTTTCGGATCATACAATGAATGGCAATAATGGAACATACACAAATACATATGAACTAATAACAAAACAGCCCCTTCAAACCCAAACCTTTTTTAGTGTAAATCAACCAAATAGTAGGTGACAATGATTTTAACATCTCCAAAAACACCAAAAGACAAGATTCATATTGAATGAAAGGTGGATGTAACCGGAAAAAGGTATAGCTCAGGAGCATGATATAAGACTGGTGAAGTTGCTATTTAACAAAGTAAATATAGACAAGTGCCAAAGCATGCATAGCACAGAGCAGACTAAAAGCTAAGCCACTTATCATTTTCAAAGAGCTGAAAACATATTAAAAGAAGAGGCAACAATAATCTCTCTCCACCAAAACAGTAAACTCCGTAAAGCAGTATCTAAATGAGTTGCTTTGTCGAACTTGTTTTTCTCAACCTATGACGTAAGGAACTATAAAATAAAAACACATACAGCTGCATGGTGGAGAAAACCAGTGTGAAAAAAAGGAGGAAGAAAAAGATGCAGATTTGGATCAACAGACCTGTCATTACCTTGTGATGTGTTTCAAAAAACTGCATCACTTCTTCCAAGTGATTTCGATAGAACCCCTGCATCAGAATTATAGAATTCTTAGTCTAAATAAAAGAGGATGAACAAATCCAAAAGTAAAAAATTGATTAGTTTAGCTACCTCAACATATCCAAAAAACCCAGAGCTCATGTCACCAGCAGGGAACCCCATTGCAATTATGTTCTCAGTGATATATGTCATATCTAAGTCAAATCCTCCCTCCTGAAGGAATGGTGCAAATGTAAGTTTACATGTATTGAGATTGTCATAGGAAAAAAAAATCAAAATTTCAAAACAGGTTGGAGGCACATCTCTGTACTCAGGAAAAAAGTGTAAGCCCCACCTGGTATCTTCGTTTGTTTTGTGAAACAACATGCCGAGCCTTAACCTGCACAGCTTTAACAGCATTTTTAGATGAGTCGACTATGCCTTTTTTAATTGTTCCAAAAAAACCAGATTGGGTTGGCGTTGAAGCTCCATCAGAGTTATCATCCGCAGTGGGAGATTTTGAAGGTGAGCGCAATCCAAACCCACTAGTAAACCGCGAAAAAGCTGACTGTCCAGCATTCCCTGTTGTTGGTGAATCCTCTTGAGCAGAAGCAAAAGGCTGAGGAGTTTTTAAATTTCTAGTCCATGATGACAGCTTTGATGGTGATTCCTGCGTAGTAGTAGAAGAATTGTCCGGTCCTGAATCTGTCGCAGCAGGAGTTGGCGAGTCAGCAGGTACATCAGCCATTCTACCGTTCCTAGAGGCCTCGACAATGATTGAAGTTCAAGTATTCAAACATCAAAGACCAGCATATGAGACGCCAGTTTATTTAGTCCTCGGAATTACAACTGCAATCATACTTTATAAGGTTCAACTAATAAAAATTAATAAAACGCTAACAGAAACATGGATTTCTTGTACTTCGTGCCCTAAGTAAACAAAATTCATGAATTGCTAAATACCATATTGATTTGACCTAATGCCCAAAAGCAATCATATGAATTACCATATGTTATAAGAATTCCCCAATAAAATAGCAAAAATCAACCTTCGAAAACTCGAACAGTTGAAAACCAAACACTGAAATGAAATCATCGATCGCATTCAAAAGATTTGATTGAAAAGATTAAGATTTGTGTCAATGGTCTTACCTTGCATGGGATGTACGGTTAAGCAGGGAATTGCAGAAATAAAAGCTCAAATAAATTAGGGTTTCGAGATCTAAATTCTAACACGACGACGGATGGGAAAAATAAAAATCTGAGAGCTTAAGGACTTATTGAGTTAATTGCACGACATGCCCTCAAATTATAGTCTTTATTCTAAATTAGTTCATAAACTTTTAAATACTCCAATTTAATTCTTAAACTATGGTTGTCATTCTAAATTAGTCATTAAACTCTTGAACATTTCAATTTCATCCCAAACAATTAGCTTCATTCTAAATTAGTCCCCAAACTTTTTGAACATTTCAATTTCGTCACAAACAATTAGCTTCATTCTATGTATTTATTTATTTATTTATACACGCATTTGCATCTTATCTTTATTTTTAATTTTCTGACTGCCGGAGGTCTTCCACAGAAGCTGCTCTCAACCTGGCGTTGGGTCAGCCTACTACCCTACCTCTCCCTTACCCTATTGCATATGGGAATCAGGGTTTTGTTGTTGTTGTTGTTGCAATTTCATCACAAACTATATGTATATATTAATCACATAACTAGTCAATAAAATCGTTAGGCCAAGTTATATTATTATATGTTTTAAAAAATAAAATTTAGGTTAAACTATAGTTGAAACTAATCACGTATTTGGATGAATTTGAGGATAAAATTGGAAGATTTAAAAATTTGAGTACCAATTTAAAATGATGATCATAATTTAAGGATTAAATTGGAATGTTTAAACATTTAAGGACTAATTTAAAATGAGATTATAGTTTGATGATAAAATTAAAATATTCAAAAGTTTAAAGATCAATAGTTTGATAACATATTATACCGCTGATATAGCAGAAACTGTGATTGAAGATCGTAACCGAACGGTGAGAAATACTGTTGTGGACGGTTCACACAATTTTGGTTGACTAAACCAATCGTAGGATAATAACACCTTGTACAGTGAAGTCAATGCATGAAGATAATATAAATATTGCAAAAAGGGTTATTGCCATCTGAAGCTCTCAAACTATGACCAAGATTTAAACTGGTCCTCAAACTGCAAACCAATGGATAAAGAACATGAAATGATGAAAGAAAATGTTTAAAAGTTATAGGAAATGTACATCAAATATCATATATTTGAAGGCATTGTATATGCTTAGTATAAGCAAATATTAAATATATTTGGTCATTAATCAGTAAAAAAATAAAATTTTCATCCTCTGCAAACTTTGTTGACTTCTTCTCCATGACCCAGGGCGAAGGAATCCATTGCTTTCTCAAGCACCGCCGCAGTTTATTGCCCAGTGCTCGTAGCCGGACTTCGCTTCAACAACTTTACTCCCAATAGACTATTCTTGCTCTGCATCATAAAACAGCATTATGAATTTACACATAAAGTTTGGAGTTTGAACATAGTAATGGAAGCAGTAAAATTCCGACGCATATCATAATTACCAGACGACAAGTTTCGGCTGCAAGGTCGCATACGGGATACTTTGTGGGCAACAGCTATAGTGATCGTCGCAGCATGTCGCGGATTCCATGGGACAACATCCCCAGCCATAGCATTGATTAGCATACTCAAATAAGCAGCAACAAGTGGTTCCTTGAGGGCATGAGTAGTATGCATCACAAGTGGTTGGAGGCCTTATGGGAGAAGGCGGATACGGGGAAGGTTTAGGCGGGTTCATCCCTCTCTTGATGGGATACGAGGCCATCATTGCAATGCCGCACTTGCCGGTAGAGGTGCCTGCGACGTTGCGCTCCATCTTTATGTATCCATTCTCTCCCCAGTTAGGACCCCAAGAATTCCTCACTATCCAATAATCTACAACACCTTCGGTGCCATATCCTACAACGACAACCCCGTGGTCTAAGCTTGTTCCGCAATGACCGGTAAATATACCCTGCATACCAACACAATGTTTATATACATGACGAAAAATTTAATCATTGCAACGGAAACTATTTTCCTACACAAGGCTATATGTACTTGACGAATTTGACACCATTTGGACTTCACAATGCACCGGAACAACAACGTTGCAATGCGGTCCAGCGGAATCCAAACGAGGCCTTCAAAAACCAGAAAATATTTGCTAAAAGATTCAATTGTTTGGTATTTACCGATTGGTAGAGCTGAAAAGCCCTGCCTCCGGCTTCAATGGCAACACTAACAGGTTGATTTGCAACAGCCTTCTTCAAAGAATTCTCATCGTTTTCGGGGACATCTTCATATCCATCAATGGAAACAACATGAGCATTTTTCTGCGAAGATAAGAAAATAGTTTACAACACTCAACACCATTCCTCATGAAAGTTTTCATATGAAATTGAAAAATCGAAGAAATCGAAGCTCCTACTAACCCTATTTGCATCACATGTGTTATCAATAGCACGGTAAGGGTAATCCTCTTCGGTGTCGATACCACCATTATTAATAATAAACTCAAAAGCATGGTCCATGAGACCACCATTGCATCCCTGGTTATACAAATTATCACAATCCACAAGCTCCTGCTCTGATAAGGAGATGTGGTCACCAGTTACAATCTTGTTTATCCCTTCCACTGCAGCCACGGTTGAGAATGCCCAGCAACTCCCTACATTCAAAATCAATACAATATCGATACTTTAAGAACTCATATTGAAGTAAATAATTTAAAATTCGGGTCATAGTTTAAATATTTCCCATTAACAGGAACATATAAACATCGAATTAATGTATGTTAATAATGAAAACATGCGGCACAAAAACGAAAAAAGACTTTACCACATTGGCCTTGATCCTTGACAGCCCCGACGGCACCTTTCTCCCTCCAATCAACCAATTGGGGCAAATCATCACCAACCTGAAATGCATACCGATTGCTCTTCGCCTTGCCGGCAAGTCTATTCGATTGAGTCTTCGGGTCCACCTTGATACCTAAATACATAGCTCGGTATTCCTCATTGGTCAAGTCAGCAAACCTATTGAGACCAACCTTATACGTTCGGTTAACCGAGTTATGTTCCATGATGAACCTCATATTATCCTTAAACACCTCGAACCGCTTTTCTTTCTCCCCCAAGTCATTGTAATTCTTGCCATGTTTCACCAACCAAGTCTCGTACATCCTCAGCACTTGAGCCTCGGTCGTCGCCTGGTGTAGCACACCATGGTTGAGATCGTAGTCGATGATCGACATGTCCATAGCCGATGATAGTACAATAAAAACGACGAAAAACATCGAAAGGAACATCGAAACATGGAAAGGGTTCTTGAGGAGAGACATGATTGTCACTGGGATTTTGTGTTGAGGGGGAGATGAATGAGATAGGGAGGAGAGATGGGTATTTATAGGAGAAAAAACTTCATTGAAATAGGATATGGAACTGAAAATCTGGTGATTGTATCTGTTATGGTTCGATTATGAGAGGAGGAGACCCTACCCTATATTTAGAGGTACACATAGGAGAGACGTTCGTGGATTTTTTTACTATCACTTATAAGCACTTAAATTAATTAAAAAAATGCAGATAAAATTAACCCATAAATCATGTTGTTTATCATTTTTGAACACTGCTGGTCTACTAAATAGCACGAACAAAGTTACTTTAATAGTTAAAGGAATGATTGTTGTTTCTAGAGGTCGTGGATTCGAACACCAACAACTGCAGGGTTTTTGAGCTTTCATTATTAAATTATCGGGAGTCTCTAGAGCAAACACTACCATTTATAATCACCTAAATTAATAGAAAAATCATATACTGAATAATATCTATGTGAAAATTATATAAGGAATTTCTTATCAAATTAAATTAAATATTCAATTTAGTACTAAAAAAAGTTATATTTATATATATATTTATTATATATAATTTGGATGGTTCGCTTATATGCAATGGAGAATTTATAAAAAAATTATAGGTTGAACCAATATAAATATGATAAACATTTATCTAAAATAATTTTCATATATTTTGAATTTAAAAATAAAATAACACACACACACACACACATATATATATATATATATGGTTTAAATCTAGAAAAAATATTGATTGGACCAATATAATTTTTAACATAATTCATACATATTTTTCATGTAGGATAAACTATGTATTTGGTTGCCCACCTATTAAATAATTTATTTTTTGGTCACTCAATTATTATTTTTTTAAATCATACCTAACCTTACATTTTTTGTTCTATTTTGGTTGTTTGTCGTTAAAAAATTAATAATGATGTTCAGATGACATTTTTTAATTATTTTTCAATCCTTGCATGTCATTATCTTATGATGACACGTTAAGATCATTGTTATTTTTTAGAGTGGCCAAAACAAAATCAAAATATAGAATTAAGTATGATTTAAAATAAATAATAGTTGGATGACCAAAATAGAAACTAAATAATAAGTGAATGAGTAAATAAGTTATTTACCCTTTCTTGAGGGCCTAGTAGGCCTAGATAGGCCCACATTGTATGCTTGCGGCTTCGTGCAATCAATTTGGCATATCTAACTTTGCCAGCAGACAGATAAGCCAATTTATTGCTCTCCAAATTTGCCTTGTCCTTGTTTTGTTTGGGCAAACCAGTCCAAATACCCCTGGATTTTAGGTTTATTATATATTTCATCATCAAATTTCAAATTAATTCAATTATATTATTATTATTATTATTTATTTAAACATCAAGTATAGCATTGAATTGTTAATTTATTAACAACCGGACGATGTGATAATTTGATGTTAACATATACGGAAGCTAAGAAATTGTCGTTATAAACTATCATTCTTTAATGTCTTTTGCAGCTATTTTAAATATTGATGAACTCTTTTTGTTGTCGTTATTACTTTGTGAGTTTAAGATTTTTCTCAAAATAAATTTAAAAACTCACGAAATTAAATAAATTATTATTATTTTTAGGATCTCGGGGCTTCATGGGAGATTGGGTATTTGTTCGAAGTTTCGAATAGCGAGAAACATTCCTTCATGAAGACGAACAACATATATCAAAATTAGTCTCACCGGACAATTTTTTTATGAGATCAAAGTATTAGAATGTTGGACTCTTAGATGAATTTTCATCAATTCTGAGTGAGTTTAATAAAGAAACAATATGAGGACAAGAAATAGAAATGAAATATGAATGTTTTGATATCGATTTAATCGATATAATTATTGATGCCAATTAGTGTTTGAGTAACAATAACAGTTGAAGGAGATGACAATTGTTTGTAAGGACCAAAACGATATATAAACTAAAATTCAGTGTCCAAAAAATGAAAAGCTTTAAAGTTTAATAACAAAATCATTACACAAATTAAAACTCATGAGAAAAATGATCATATCATCACGTCATTAACTATTGAACTAGACAATATTTACATTAAAATTAAAATACAGTAAAACATTTTAAAATTTAGAGATAAAATTCATGAAAATCTAAAAATTTAATATAAATTATGCATTTAGTATTTAAACTATCGGTTTTGGTCCGCTTTAGTACCTAAATTTTCAATTTTTTTCAAACGTTAAATCTTGAACAGGGTACTAAAATGAAATAAAAATTAAACTTTAGATGTGATTTTAGAAAAATGAAAGTTTAGGTACTAAAACTGATAGTTTAAGTACTAAATGAGTAATTTAGCCTACAAATTTAGATGACAGTCGTAGTTTACCATGTTGTTCTTTTACATGGGCCATGGGGTAACATCTTCGAGCTTGACTTTTCTCAGTCATGGCTACTCCTTTCTGCTTTTTAAACACCATTTCTTGATAATCTCGTGAAGGAAAAGAGAGAAGAAAAAAGAATGCCGACACTTTCTTTATATGATGCAATTTTATTGTTTTCAATCATTTTTCTTCAATTTTTGGTTCACCAGGTTGCTAGCTATGATGATCCATTGATTGGAACAAGCAGGAAAACCTTGGAAACAATCATTGCCGCCGGTGGCGTTGGTGATTGGGAAGCTCCTCCTCCTTCTCCTTACAATTACGGCTATCCTCCACCGCCTCCTCAACCAAAATGTACACCACCACCTCTACCTCCTCCCCCTCCTGTTCCAAAATGTCAACTTCCCCCACCACCTCCGCCGCCTCCGCCACCACCACCACCTCCTCCTCCTCCTCCTCCACCACCACCGCCTCCTCCTCCTCCTCCACCACCACCGCCTCCTAAACCAAAATGTACACCACCACCTCCACCTCCTCCCCCACCTGTACCGAAATGTACACCACCACCTCCGCCGCCGCCGCCGCCTCCCCCACCAACACCGTCACCACCACCACCATGTAATAAGTACCGCGCGAAGAGTGGCTGCTTCGAAAACGAGCGACTCGCAAAATCCTACGGCGTGATCCGAAAGTTCCGGAAAAAAATCCGAGCCGACTCCAATAGCAGGAAATACACAGACACATGGCGAGGCACCGACGTCTGCAAATATGAAGGCTTCTATTGCGAGAATCGTCCCGACGTGAACGAAAAAGCCGTCGCAGCTGTCGACTTCAACGGCGCCGGATTCTCGGGTCTCAACGGTTCCCTTCCCCTCGACGACTTCATCGATGAGTTACACGACTTAGCCATCTTCCACGCCAACTCCAACAACTTCACCGGCACTGTCCCTCTCGGCGTCTCCAAGATCAAATACTTATACGAGCTCGATCTCAGCAACAACCACTTGTCCGGTGATTTCCCCACTGAAGTCCTTCAAGCCAAAAACTTGACCTTCTTGGACCTAAGGTTCAATGCCTTGCAAGGCACGGTACCACAACAAGTGTTCGATCTAGACCTCGATGTACTCTTCATCAACAACAACAACTTCCAACAAAAACTACCCGAAAATCTCGGCGACACGCCGGTTTTATACCTCACATTCGCGAACAACAAGTTCACCGGTCTGATCCCGACGAGCATCGGTAGAGCTTCCAACTTACTCGAAGTGCTTTTCCTCAACAATCAGCTTACAGGATGTTTGCCATACGAGATCGGTAACCTAAGTCGAGCCACCGTGTTCGATGTCGGCACGAATAGGCTTACCGGACCGATCCCGCACTCGTTCGGGTGCTTGAAAAGCATCGAGCTACTCAACTTGGCTAGCAACGAGTTCTATGGGGAAGTGCCCGAAATCGTTTGTAAACTCCAAAGGCTTCAAAATTTGTCATTGTCGAACAACTACTTCACACAGGTTGGCCCTGCTTGTAGGCACTTGATATTGAAGAACATACTCGATGTTCGAAAAAACTGCATCTTGGACTTGCCGGATCAAAGATCAAAAGCCGATTGCGCCGCTTTTTTCTCGAGAAAATCGTATTGCGGTCGGAAGGATTCGTTCAAGTGGGTTCCATGCATAAAGGGTGGTGATTATAATTCGAGTTCGACGGTGAAATCCGGGCTAGAATCAATGGATTCTTCTCCTTCCACATCTCCGAGAACTTATAGCACACTTATCCCACACCGGCTGTAAATCAATAGTGGGTTCTATCTTCTATGGTTGTTTATATGTTTATTGATTCAGTTAAGGAATCATGGTTTGTAATTTGTAAGAATTCGTCGTGATCCAATATTGGTGAAGTTGTCGGTTACGGCACTAAGTCGTTATGAAATCTATGGCATTACTTTATGAACTCAACACCAACGCCCTTTATTTCCATCCTGGTCGATTGCTGATTAGTGCTAAAAGATGGGTCCCATTTAAGGGATCGAGTTGGGTTAAGTTTTTGATCAATCTGACATGACTTAAAAATTATATGTCCTCCGTCTGATTCGAATTCGATCCGAAAAGTATACACCCTCCACTCGATCCGTCATTTTGAGATAAAAATATGAATCTGATCCTACCTGAAATAATATATTTATAAAAATTATTATTTAGAGATTTGATTAAAAATAATAATATATAAAGATCTTATTGCAATTTATCTCTGCGTATAGAAGGTAAAATTATAATTTTTTTAGTAGGTCGAATATTTTTCAACTTAAATTAGAAGCCGATTTGATCCGAACATAATCTCAAAAACACCCGACCCGATTCAACCCGGATTCAATTTTTCTTTAAATATCTGACGCGATAGAATCAAAACTCGTTAGATTCAAGTCCGTTCTCTAAGCTCATTGCTAACTGCCGACAGTCACCACCGGAAAACCGATTCCATGCCGGCATGCCATTGCAAGTAAATGACACCAAGCACATGGAAAACTTTGCTTTATGATGATGGATTATGTAGGATCGGGGTTTTGGCCCACCTGAATTTAACCCGAATATGACATTTATCTATCTGTCATTTCATTCAATCTAAACTTAAAGAAGATTCATTTAATTTAAAACCCGACTTTTTTGAGTAAAAAAGTCTCATTCTACCCGATCTAACCCCCCTCTCTCTCTCTATATATATATATAATTTTTACTTTTATTAAGTAGATTAGAGACCTAATAAAAATATAAAGAAATAATATTATAATATATATTCTTAAATATATAAAAATAAATTATTTATTACTTTTGAGCTGGATCGAATATTTTCACCGTATATATATAAAGGAATGGAGAAATGGGTGGATAAAGAGAGAACTAATAGTTAAAGTCACATATTGTGATAAATGAGGGATGGGCATACGGCGAGGCGAGTTTTTGGCCGTCTCGAAAATATATATTTAAAATTTGATCTTGTTTTATTCGAATATGTCCCAATTTTTATACTAAAATCATGATCATGATCCTATCTGATCTGAATATATTAATATTTTAAAATAATTGAAATTATATATTTTCTAATAAATATTTATAATTATTTATTATATTTAAACATTTAAATTAATATATTTTAGATTATTTTTTATTTTTAATAATTAAATAATATATTTTAATAATATAAATTATTAATATATATATAAATTAACCGGGTAGATCGAGTCGATATTTATCACCTTAAACCTGACCCCACCCAATCCCGAATATTTTTATTATATAACCCATCCCGTCCTACCCCAAACTCCAAAATTTCAAAAAAAATTTCTCTATAAGATTAAGTAAAATCAAAATTCGTCAAATTCGAACATTTTAACCCTCCCTAAAATGAGCCTCCAAAGGTCAAATTGGAGCTAGCTATTTAAAAGTGAGCACGCCATTTATGTTGCTGTTGAATTCCCCCTTTGTATTCAACTCTTTCCTTCATCTCCTTTTCCTTTTAATCTATACTCTCTCATCATCCCCGTATATTTTCAAATTCATACCTACACTCACTATTTAACTGAATATCTACCACTTATCTCATACTCATTTATATCCGTTCATATCCATTTGACAGTAACCTCACATATTTTATAAATAATAAAACAAACAAATCCACGAAGAAGCATAATAAAATAAATCAATAATTAATTGAGTTTTATATCATATCATTTGGTTAAATTACAAGTCATGCCCTATAAAATATTAAGATTTATAGAATAGTTTCTAAAATTATATCTAAATTCATAATGGTCTAAAATTTATATGGTAGATAATTACCAGGCGTGAGATACAGTGTGAGTAAGATCTCAAATTCATTACCTACCCACTACCCACGACAGATATGATTTTTTTATATTCACATCCACCTACTACCCACTAAATTTATATATATCTCCACTATAATTTGAACAAGTACGATACAAAATTCACGAAATTATACTCCTCTGTTATCCCTGAGCTTAAGCTGTGTTCCCATTAAGGATAGCAACGGGGCGGTTTCGGGCCGAGGATTGGTCCCCGTCCCCGTTTAAAAAACTCGTGCCCGTCCCTGCTTAAAAAACGCGAAGATTTAAATGGGGATCCTCATCGGGTAATCGAGGAAAACCGCAGGGAAACGGGTATCCCCATTTAGCATAAACGGTTTTTAAACGGGTATCGGGCCGGGTATATATATTTAAATTAAATATACAAATATTGTATATATATTTTTAATTTAAATTTAATTTATTAATATTATATATATATATATAATAATTATCGGGCCGGGTATTCGGGTAATCGTGGCGGGGATTACCAAACCCGTCCCTGTTTAAAACATTCGGTTTTTCTCTATCCCCGTCCCCGTTTATCATTCCCGAACCCAACCCATTTAATTCAGTTTTCAATTTTCCCCGATGAATTCGATTTTTTTTTTGCCATCCCTAGTTCCCACTAGTTATTGGCGCACTAATTTCCCCCTTTAATGGTGAACGGATCACCACTTTTGCACACATACATTTTTGCACCTCATCACTTCTCCCTCAGTGCTAACAATGGTTTCGGATTGGGATCAAGGACGTGTTTGTTTAATCCCCTAGTCATTTGTGGAAAATAAACAGTAAATAACCATTTCAACTAATTGTCTCTAAGGGTAGAACGGAGATATTATAACAACTATCCCAAAATATATAAAAGATAAATATATTATTATCTCTGGTTTGGATCATGAGTTTTTTACCTTAAGTACGAACCTAACTCTTTAATTAATCTTATTTTAAAAGAATTATAACCTGAACTTGATTTTTTTTTTAAAAAAAAATCTATAGAATCGAGTCAAAATCCATCAGGTTCAAATTTTATATCGAGTTATCAATATTAAGTCCCAATTAGGGCTGCAAATGAGCCGATTTGAGATCGAGCATTGTTGAGCTCGACTCGAAAACTCATAAGCCTAAAATTTTCAAGCTCAACTTGAACTCGAAATAATGAATTGAAGCTCGTAAAAGCTCGAAAAGAAAAAAAAACTTAAAATTAACTCGATTAAGCATCAAACTCAAACTAAAGACTGGACCCTAGATACATGAAAACCATATATTACATTTATAAAAAATTAAAACATAATTGTTAATATTATTAATATTTTGTTTTTAAAAAAATAAAATCTTAATATATTATATTTTTTAGCTGCTCATGAGCTTTTTGAGTTAAGTATCAAGTAGTTCGTTTCGGCTCGTTAAGAACTCGAGTCGAATCCATTCGAGTATTTATCGAGCTTTGACCGAATAGAGTATTTATTGAGCTTTGACCGAATAGAGTATTTATCGAGCTTTGACCGAGTAACTCGCGATCCGTTCCATCTCACAGTCCTAGTCCCAATAATTTAAACCTACACTATGCCAACGAGTCCTTATTATAAGGTGGCCTATCACTATCGTGGAGCAAATCTTATGGAATTTTCAAGTTTTTCATTTTATTTCGATGCAAATGTGCCACTAAGTTTTATAATTTAACTGCACCATTTGGGGTGAGTAGGTTCCCATTGCTTTTCCTTTACAAAAGTTTATCGTAAATTCAATCCAAAATTTATCGATAATCATTATTTAATTAATCAAATTAAATCATTTAATTTTTTCAATAGGAACACAAAATGCAAATCAAAATGATAACACATAACGACCTTAAACCCTAACTTCAAATAAATTTAGAGAAGAAAAAAAATTATGAGACATAAACCAAATTTTCACCTACCAAAACGAATGAACCACATAACATAATAATGAAGCATTACCCAAAGTCCCACCACCACTATGATACCCAACAACCACACTAATATTTAGAGAGATAATGAATCGAATCGAATCGAAATAAATTTATGATCGATATAATATTATAATGATAAAATTCGATATTGATTTCGATCCGACTCGAATTAAAAACATTATATAATGTCAAGTGCAACATGTTTTCCTTTAATCTTTCATCTCCCTTCAATAGATGGAAATTTTACTTTCTTCAACAAAGTGTTCACTTACCCTTGCATTTTCTTTCTTTACTTTCATTTCTTCTCTTAGTAGTATGCAGAATGGTACCGATATCAGCCCGATAGGGCCACCGGCACCGCCATCGGGTGTCTCGATGCCACGGTTGGTCTTTGAAGACCAGAGACTCGCCGTTGTTTACCCGGTAATCCAAGCATTCAAGAAAACGATCACCGAGGATCCACTTAACATAACGGCGAATTGGGTCGGGTCGGACATATGCAGCTACACGGGCTTTTACTGTGACAACCCGCCGGACAATGTATCCGCAGTCGCCGTCGCCGGCATTGACTTCAACGGGTTTCACTTAGCAGCCGCTACACTCCTAGGCTTCATCGACAACCTCCCCGACCTCGCCATCTTCCATGCGAACTCAAACAATTTCTCAGGCTCCGTACCGGATGTCTCAAAGCTCCGATATTTCTACGAGCTGGACATAAGCAACAATGCCTTCTCCGGCACGTTTCCGACGACGGTCTTCAGCGTAAAAGACTTATCGTTTCTAGACATCCGTTTTAACTCCTTCGCCGGGGAGATTCCACCGGAGATTTTCAACCAACCACTCGAAGTACTCTTCATCAACAACAACGAATTCACAGCCAAACTGCCGGAGAACTTCGGTTCTACGCCGGTTCTTTACCTCACGTTGGCGAACAACCACTTAACCGGACCGATCCCGCGAAGCATCGGCAACCTTAACTCGACATTAATCGAGATTCTACTACTGAGCAACAAGTTATCAGGCTGTCTCCCTTACGAACTAGGTTTTTTGAAAGAACTCAAAGTGTTCGACGTCGAGAGAAACCTGTTAACCGGTCCACTGCCCTGCTCCTTGTCGTGCTTGGAGAAGATCGAGCTGCTCAACTTCGCCAACAATCTACTGTACTGGGAAGTGCCGGAGGAACTGTGTTCGCTCACGAACTTGGTGAACTTGTCGCTGTCGGACAATTTTTTCACCAAAGTCGGTCCGATTTGCAGAAAGCTGATAAAAAGTGGTGTTCTTGACGTGAGACAGAACTGCATCCCCGGTTTTCCCGACCAGAAGTCGTTGCATGAATGTGCAGAGTTCTACTTGAAGTACATTAAGTTGTGTCCGTACCCTTCGTCGTATAAAATCATTCCTTGTAGAGATGATGCTGCATGGCACCATCATCATTTGGAAGGGACCAAAACGAAGACGATGACCAAGACCAAGAAACCCCGGTTACTTACAAAACTCTTTCGAGACACAAGTTTTAAGGGTTTTGTTTTTTTATCTTTTCAACAGGGTTTATATTTAGAGATCATAATTGCCTTGATCTAACAACGCACGTTATTATCAAAGTTGGATTGTAGAAAAGTTAAGACAAATGTGGATGTAAGTGTACGCGATTGTAGTTATGGTCCTTTGAATAAGCCACCATCCATGTAAGACTGTTATGATTTTGGCTATTGGAACTTGGAAGCACTCTCGTTGCCTGTTTTTATATTATCCATCGTTATCATCCTTTCGAAATCAAACATTCATATACAGGGATATTTAATTAAAGGATGAGATTAACAGTAGGAAATGAGAAATATTCACTTAAAAAAACGAGTGAATCTCAACATTTGATTTTCCCTCATCCGGTGAATATCTTTCATTTTCTAAAGTTAATATCAGCCTTTAATTTCTCTTATCTAGTGATCCTAAAAGTATATAAAACTAAAATAATTTTTCACATTAAATATCTTCTCATTACTAAATGCATATATTAATAAAATATATATTAAAGATATTAAATTTATTCAAAAAACTCTATCAACAATGAGTAAAGTTATATTAATTAAATAAGAATTATATTTGAAAACGTATAAAACTATTTTCGTTGAATTAATTACGGGTATCTGATCTATTGACCGATTAATTTAGATCGGATATTGCAGAACGAGGGCGATCCTCCAAACCCAATTTACTCTATTCACAAACGGTTAGGATCTGTACCTCTGACATTGCTTAAGAGATCTAATGTCTCGTCTCACTAAATCAATTTGTTGTTGGTAATGTATAAAATTACTCTACTAACTTAAGTGGATTCATCAGTCATCACTATATATCATACAAATTAATTAACCGAGAATGTATTAGTGGTGGATAGACGAAAGAGCAAAAAATTACATCACGCTTGCCTTTCGTTGACCGGTCAAATACCGACCAACCTAAGATATCACAACTTTTTTCTTTGCTAACTTATTAATTTAAGTTTTTTTTTTCACTCTCCTGGTTACTCGGGGTTTTATCTTGACCTATTTAGATTAGGGGTATAAACCAGTTGAGTCGAGCTCGAATATTGCTTAGCTCGATTTAATTTGAAAACTCTAAAATAGAGTTAAACTCGAATCCAAAACTCGCGAGTTTAAAATTTTCAAACTCGACTCGAACTCGAAATCCTGAACTGAAGCTCGTGAGCAGCTCGAAAAGGCTCGAAATGAAAAACAAATTCTCGATTGAAGCCTCAAACTCGAACCTGAACCTTAAATACATGAAAATCTTACTGTATTTTTAAAAAAATCAATACATAAATGTTAATATTATTAATAACTTATTTTTAAAAAAATAAATCTTAATAATTATATTTTCGAGCTGCTCACGAGCTTTTCGAGTCGAATATCAAGTAGCTCGTTTCGGCTCGTAAAAACTCGAGTCGAGCTCGAGCTCAAGTCGAGTCCATTCGATCCAAGTATTTATCGAGCCTTGATCGAGTCGATCTCGAATTGCTCACGATCTGTCTCGTCTCATTTACAACCCTAATTCATATTGATCTTATTGTACTTAATTTTAATGGGTATATGTTTTATTGGATATTTTATGCATATACAAAAACTCGAACTTGATATATACTTAAGTGAATTAAGCTACTTACCACTTAAATGTATCATCATTGGTTATAATCAACGTATTTAGAGTTTAAATATTTTTATTAGTATAGATAATTACGAGATAGCCTCTATTTAATATTTTAATCAATCTATTAAAATTGTATATTCACCCTATAAATACAATTAATTGAACCTCGATTTTATAAGGAGAATAATATTTTCTTTTACCATGAAGTCACTCAATATTATAAGATATATTACAATAAAAATATTTTTAACCCGATTTATTTTATTCACAAAATAAAAATAACTAAATAATATAATTGGAGTACCATAATTATATTCAATTAAATAAAACAATTAATCACAGTAGTTACTTAAACATCTCACATGTATAATCATAAACGACACAAAAATCTAAATATTGAATACTTTTACACATAGTTTAAAGGGTAAAGTATATAAATGATCCCTCTATTATAGAGTATTTTTTTGTTGAGTCTCCTTATAATAAAAAGTTATAAAATATCCTTCGACTATAGAATAATATTTTATTAAGCTTATCGATTATTAAAAGTTACAAAATAGTCATCTGACTATTCATATATTCCAAACTTTTTTCCTTTTCGTTAAAAATTGATGGACGCCTAAACTGGATGTTAACATATTGATTGAATTAGGGGTGATCATTCGATCGAGTCGAGTCAAATAAATTTTTTTGAGTTATTCGAGTTGACGAGTTGTATTTTTCAACTCGAACTTGACATGAATTTTTTTTAGTCGAGTCGAGTTTAAGAAATTCCAATTGAGTTATTCGAGTTTTTATACTAATTTTATTATGATTATTTATAGTATTATGGCAAGGATTTATTTCAATTTTTCTCCTTTCTTTAACCAAATATATATTCTTTCCACATTTTAATGTTATTTAATATATCAAATACAATCTAAAATTATAAAATATATTTATAATAGTATATTTTAAAGAAAGTATTATGATAGTAAAATATTGGTGAGAGTAAAAAGGAGTCAAGAAATTGATGGGAAGAAAAAATTTGCAAACAATTATAGTCAAAAGACCAAATTTAGTAAAACGCAAAGTTAAGGGACCAAAAAAGAGTACATTTTTAATAAAAAAAATTAAAGTTACATAGGTATTTTATTGTGGTATATGAGCATGTGGTTCAAATTTGGTAAAAAAAGGAATTAAAATAAATGATGAATTAAAAAAATAAAGAAATTATTAAAAATTGAGGGACTAAATTGAAAAATAAAAATTTGATATAAAAAAGAAAAATTGAAAGTACATATGCATTTTATGATGGATTAGTAGCATGTGGTTTAAATTTGATAAAAATAGACTTAAAATGAAGGAGAAATTAAAGAACTAATAAAATCAGGACTAAATTGTAAAACTGTCAAAATACTTAGACAAATTTTCAGTTTTTCGAGTGACTAAAAAATTCAAAAAAATTCAACTCGACTCGAACTCGAAAATTGAATTAATAATTCGAATTGACTCGAATAACTCAAAACTAAAAAAAATCGATTTTTCGAGTTGAGTTTGGCTCACTCCTAAATTGAATATGAAAAAATTTGATCCTAAAACCGTTTGAATCATATAGTTATTTAAGATTCTAAGATTATATTATATCATATTTCAGTCAGTAAGTTAACGTCCAGCACAGATAACCATCATTTTTTAATAAAAATATCGAGTTTAAAACATTTGAATAGTTAAATGATCATTTTATAACTTTTAATAGTCGATATCAGCAAAGTAACACCCAATAGTTTGAAACAAAAACGTCCACTGTTATTTATTAAGTCAGGACCGACTTACCTCCAGCTCTCATTAGCAGCAAGGAAGATGCTGCCAACAACTTTGCTCGTGACCACTACACCAGTAAATTCTTTAAACCTGATTCCATCAATCAGTTAATTTATTTTACAGAAACTAACAATTTATGTTTTACTTGTTTCAGTTGGCAAGGAGATCGTCGACTTGTGCTTAGACCGTATCAGAAAGCTTGCTGATAACTGCACTGGTCTCCAAGGGTTCCTTGTTTTCAATGCTCTTGGTGGAGGCACTGGTTCTGGTCTTGGTTCTCTCCTTCTGGAGAGTCTGTCCGTTGATTACGGCAGGAAATCCAAGCTGGGTTTCGCTGTCTACCCATCTCCTCAAGTCTCTACTTCTGTTGTTGAGCCCTACAACAGTGTTCTCTCGACTCACTCTCTTTTGGAGCACACCGATGTATCTGTTCTTCTTGACAATGAGGCCATCTACGACATTTGCAGGCGCTCTCTCGACATCGAGCGACCCACTTACACCAATTTTAACCATTTTGTCTCTCAGGTATGGTAAAATCCTCTGCTCTTTTCTGTGCTCATGTCGTATTTGTGTTGATGGTTTGGCTTAGCATATATTTCCTTTGTGACTTAGGTGATCTCCTCTTTGACTGTTTCACTAAGGTTCAATGGTGCATTGAACGTCGATGTAACCGAGTTCCAGACCAACTTGGTCCCCTACCCAAGAATCCACTTCATGCTTTCGTCTTATGCTCCAGTCATCTCTGCCGAGAAGGCTTACCATGAACAACTATCAGTTGCTGAAATCACCAACAGTGCTTTTGAACCCTCTTCTATGACGGCCAAGTGCGACCCTTGTCATGGTAAGTACATGGCTTGCTGTTTGATGTGCCGTGGTGATGTCATGCCCAAAGACGTCAACGCTGCCTTTGCCATCATCAAGACCTAGCGCACCATTCAGTTTGTGGACTGGTGCCCCACCGGATTCAAGTGCGGCGTCAACTACCAGCCTCCCACCGTTGTTCCTGGTGGTGATCTTGCTAAGGTCCAGAGAGCTGTTTGCATGATTTCCAATTCGACCAGTGTTGCCAAGGTGTTCTCTTGCATCGACCACAAGTTTGACCTCATGTACGCCAAGCGTGCCTTTGTTCACTGGTACGTGGGTGAGGGCATGGAGGAAGGCGAATTCTCGGAGGCTCACGAGGATCTCGCTGCACTGGAAAAGGATTATGAGGAAGTTGGTGCTGAGTCGGCCGAGGGTGATGAAGACAATGATGAGTACTAAACAAGTAGGTTCGACACAACGACTAGTTCTATTGTCATATGTGTTTGCGAGTATTGAGTTAACTTCGATTCTTCGAAGCTCATATAATACCTATGCTGTTGTTTTACTCTGTTGAACGAAAATATGGAATGCAATAGGTTGCATTTTTATGCATTTCTGTCGGCTGAAACTGAAAATCCAACTGATATATGGTATTTACAAAGACATAATTACAGGAGATGGAATGAAATTATTCTCCTATGGTGGAACACTTGTTCTACTTCAATTTACATTAGGGGATGTTTGAGATATCCTTTCATCTTCCAGAAGCGTATACGGGTCTATGTATTGCGGCGGTGCAACAGGGGTCGTACTTCCGTCGTGAATGAAAGATGGTCCGAAATACTGCCCAAGAGTAAACAAATTCCTAATGACTATGAAGAACTATGGTGATAGTTAAAGGTGATAACGAAAAACATCCGCAAAACAGCGAGTTTTCGTTATAAGTGCATCTCTCCTATAGTTAAAATCGAAGAGTGGAAGAAGGAGAAGCTTACTATGTAGAGAGCGGAAAAGAACGCTATGGTTGCGAGAATCAAAGGCCAAAAGCTGAGGAAGAAAGTTCCTCCGAGCGTTAGTAACAGTTTAGCCCGCGGAATTAGCCCCTGAACAACAAAACACATGAACTTCAATTTTCATCTCGCATGTGCTTGCATTTATAAGTTCACGAATCATAAGTAACAGAAAATGAATAAACACATCAATTCCTTACAGTTGAGATACAGAAACAGAAACAAACTACAGCTATTGATCGTGCCATGACGGAAGAGTTAGTTTTATACGAACAAATTAATATCAAATGACAAAGATCGAGTCAATGACGGGTTCATCGCAGCAGAAAGTACAAACATAGAGAGAATGATCGTGTCAGTTCTTCAAATGTTTAATAACACCACCGAAAAAAGGTATGAGCACTTTCTCGTTCTCTTTCAAAATTCACACAAGGAAACATATCCAAGGCAATACCCTAAATCTAGATCATTCGGATTATGAAGCTACCATTACAATTCATACGACACGTAAGTTTATAAAGTACAATCATCTACAACTAACGAAAGAAAAGGCAATTAACGAAATCTTCGTAGAATGGTTGTGCTGAAGTTTTGCAGTCAACATAAGCAAGATAGTCGTAAATATCAGGTAAAAGTAGGGCACAACGTACGGTAAACTTGTTTCTTGTATTCCTTCAAAATTTACGCAAAGAAACAACCCTAGGTAACACTCTAAATCTAGCTTGTTCATATTTAGAAACTAACATTACAATTCATACTGCACATTAAGGTGCAAAGTGCAACTATGTATAACCAGCTAATGCAGTGATAAGTTTTCATATGCGAGATGAACCGTATTAGCGCACACAAAAGAAAAAGGCCATTAACATAATCTTTTAAGAAAGATTGTGCTTTAGGTTTGAAATCAATAGAGCAAAATCTATCAACCTCGAGGCCTTCGCTGTTCAATTCCATCGATCGCTCCCTCTGATTAGATAAGCTTTTGTCGAACTTGGTCGACACGGCATTCCTTTTCGAGAGGCTTCCCCCTTCTTCCCCTACTTTCATCTCCTCATCCAATCTGGGCTTTTTGGTGTCCTCCAGCAATGAATTGGGTGTCATCCCCCTCCTCTTCAACTCCTTCATAAACAGTGACTCAGTCGGTTCTTCACCTACTCAGAAACAAAGAAATACCCAATCCATAAACCCTAATAGAAATTAACAAGCACCCAATTAACAGTAACTCAATCAAATAGCAAACTCGAAAACTACATATAAATGATTCATCTATTCACTATTCAGTGCTTTTGAACTTGTTTTTGAAGGACTTATATTGGGTTAGTTTCAGAATCATTGAAATCAAAATAACATAAAAAAGATACGATTAAATGGGTAAATAAAAAGATAAGAACTTTGGAAACTGAAAGAACATACCATTGCTTTTGTTGTCACTTTCTTCAGTGGCGCAACAGATTCTAGATCTTTGGCTGTGGAGGGACCTGAGGTTTCTACATCTCTGAAAGTTGAGAATTCTCTTCCTGGAATCAGAATTTCCGAGAAAAATTGACTGGGAAATTGAAATGGAAGAAAACACAGGGTTCGATATCTGCAGAGAAGCCATTTTATTCGATATTTTCTCCTTAGTTTCTCTGCATTAAAGCTTTAAATAACTAATTATGAATAGAAACAACTTCCAATTTTTCAAGAAATTACGAATTTTAGATGATTTCTTTTAAGCTAACAGTTGAGTACAAGAAAGGAAAATAATTTTTTTTTTTTTTTTTTTTGTAAATTATTGAGGAAGCAAAGTGAGTTTCAACTTTGCAAGTGGCGGCGAGGATGTGGTGGTCGTTTAGCAGTGTATCCTTTAGCGTGTAAGTTAGAATGAAAGTGCTTTTTGTTGCAAATCTACGCTGAGAGTTGTGCGGTACCGTTTGGGCTGGTAAAAGTGTTTAAATAATGTAATGAAAAAAAAAATCTTTGCATAACGCAGTCGAATAATTATTTACTTAAGTAGTGTAATTATTACAATGACTTCTATAGGTTTTCAAAAGCACATGACTATATCTATAAGTCTTCAGGAGCACACGACAACCTATAAAACTGTAATAGCGAGGGAAGAGAGAGAGTTGCTACAATAGAAGAGACATTGTCGCAAGAAGCATTTGACGATTTATGGAACACTTAAAGATTAATGAGATCACTATAACAAATACCTCAGTTCAAGAAATAATTTAGATAAAACTCTATGAAAATTTTTTTTTCCAACATCCTACATAGGCGAGGAAGCCGGTTGAGCTTCGTAAGCCGTAGCTATCAACTTACCCATTTCTTCTTTCACCGTCTAGAAGTTTAATATAAGCGTAAAATATATTACAAGTCACTCGATTATGTATTTGGTAATAAACATGTCAAAATTTTTCTAAATGTTACACATAGATCACTCAATTAAAATATATTATAAATAGGTCATTATATCGTTAAAATTGAAACGTTGACTATCTATAATAACATTTGTAGTCCCCCTTAAGTCACATATAGAAATAATTTAATAAAGTTATTCATTTATATTTAAAAAAGTTATCAATTTAGGGTTTAAGGTTTAAGATTTCAACCATAAAGTAACAAGAAGTTATCATACCCCAAAAATAGCATGAAACTAATATAATATTTATGAGAGAATAACAAATAATTTAGGAGAATAAAGATTAAATTGATGAATTTTTAAAATACAAAAATTAATAAAAAAAATAGCATTAAATAGTTTTGTATTAGGAACAAATTAATAAATTATATAAATTTTAAAGAATAAAATTATTTATAATAATATTTTAATAGAATTATAACTTTTTTAAAAATACCATTTTTTTAACTTCGTTACATTTATTCATTTGTGCGGTATAGACCTTGTATTTTTATTTTGGGTTAAAATTACATTATAAGTCGTTCCGTTGTTAACAATATTACAAGTAGACCATTTAAGTTTAAATGTTATAAATAAGTCACTTAACCAATCAATTCTCACAAACATTGCACATTAGAAGGCTCCGTTAAGGAAATGTTTTATTATCCATTTTCTTATTGGATAGATTGCATCTGATATTATTCAATTAATAATAAGATTCTAAAGAGATTCTTTAGAATTTAATTTGATGAATTGAACTAGGAGATCAAGCTGAAACTTACCGTGAAATTTGGCGTTCATTAGCTAATGTATACGATGATTGATGTTGGTCAACGTGGTGAAAATTAACATGATTGTTACAATAAATTAATTAGATGGCTTGACTGTTACAATAATTTAATCGAGTGACTTGATTGTAACTCTATGAAATCTAATATTTTAAATGAATAAAACACTCAACGTCGGTAAGTCACGTGATATTTAACGATCCAATGATATGTTCGTGACATAGATTAATTAAACGACTATTTTATAACTTTAAAAATCATATGACCTATTTGCAACATTAACTAACAATTAAGTGACGTTAGATGCAATTTTCCCTTTATTTTTCTTAACTATCTAAATTATTGGTTCGCCGACGACTATAATTCCAAGAAAATGTCAACATTGTCCCCACTTTAAAAAGCAAGGAGGAATGATTGGTACCTGGTACCCGACTTACAAATACTCAAACTTTAGGGGTCGGGTCATAGATCGATATCTTAGTATTCGGATATCACAAGTACCATGTATTTCAAATACCTAGAAATACGGATATCCGAATTTAATCACCCCTAACTATACATGAAGTTTACCCTACAAAATGATCCCTTCTAAGTTACATAACTTGTCAATTCCATTAGGGGCGTTTGAATTAAGGAAAAGATTATTACCAAATGGAGGTCTTAATCTTGTGGTCGTGGCACAAGGCTCTTAATCTTGTGATCGTGGGATCGAGTCCCACTGAGGGCAATTCATAACGGAGATCTTCCACGGAAGTTGCTCTCAACCTGGCGTTGGAGTCAGCCTACTACCCTACCTCCACCTTATCCCATTACATATGGGAATAGGGTCAGCTAATTTTAATTTTTATTATTACCAAATGGAATAATCTTTTATGGAATTATATGCCCACGTTTTGTTCAAAAAGCATTCACACCGGGAGGTAATGAAACATTACTTACAATGCTTTTTTACCTTGCATTCTAGTAATCTCATTCCCACTGTTCTTAGGTATTACACAATTACATCCCCTTTAAACAATAATACCCCTGAATAATATAATAATTTCAAAATGATCTTTCCTTTTGTATATAATTACACAAATATAAATCTATTTT